GAACGTAGAGGCAGCTAGTTCTTCTAAGGCGGCGCGTCCCCCCCGAAGCGCAGCTGCTGATGTTGTTGGTTTCTGGTTCGATGACCCTGTGACTGAACAAGCCCACAAGTTTACTTTCAAAGCCAGTTCAAAATCTTGGCAAGTCAGATGTAGCTACCATGATGCGAAAGTCAACCCAAGTGGCAGCAAGACGCATTGCACAAGAACTATGCCGGTGCCGGCCGGAGAAAACCAAGAGGTTGTTTTGGAGCAACTAAAAAAGTGGGTGGCAGCAGCGCCTCAGCATGCGAGCAAGGCCTCTCACCAGGCAATGTTTTTTCGAGCTGAACCTGACATGCCCCCCCCTAAAGCACAGCGAAAGTCAAAGCCAAAGCCAAAGCCTTCCAGCGTTCCCCCTGTGACGCAACAAGGCAGTTCTTCTAGCTCAACCACTTCCAAAGATTCTAGTTCAAGCTCAAATAGCAGCAGTTCCAGCTCTGAATCATCTACATAGTTCTCTTGCAGTGCCAGTGCCAGTGCGTCAGTGCCTTTCGAGGTGCCAGGCAGGTTTGGCGTTCAAACAGTGCTGCTGTCAGTCAAAAGGTGCTTTGTGGAAGGGGTGAGTCACTTGTAGAATTTAATAAATGGACTTTTACACGTTGTGGACAGAAAGTCTATCAATTCTGTTCTGTAGTTGGCTGTTTTCTTGAGTTGACTGTTTTTCATTTTTGTGCACGATGGCTCGAACACTGAACTCAGCAACGCACACGCGCACACCTACAGACTGACAATGTTTGCTTGGTTGGTTTGCGCAGGCAGCGTTTTCCTTGGATGTGCTGTGGGGCTTTGCTGCTTGTGTAGCTTGCGCCCTTCCTATGGCCCAGGGTCCTCATCCCTTCGTGTTGCTGCTGAGCGTTGTATGTCGAAGGCGAAACTTTGGCTGTGGACACTAAGGGTTTGCAAGTGGGCATGGCCGTGCCCATCCTCTTGGCGGAGCTGTGCAAGACAAGCGTTTTGCAGTAACGAAGTTGCTGCGGTTGGTGCTTTCACCCTCTTGGAGCACAACAGGACCGATTTGCACACAAACCAACGCAAACACTCAACAAAGAGTTAAAAAGGTACTGTTTGTGCAAGGCAGGCATGTTTTTGACTGAAAACTTGTACAGTAACATTGTCATTGCCCATTCTCACTCTCCTTGAGCACTTTCTGAATCATGTGAGTTTTTTGTGTGGTTTTCATTGAAAACCATCAAAAATCTATGCCCACCGCACGCCACCGCACGCCACCGCACGTCCCACCGCACGTCCCACCGCACGTCCCACCGCACGT